GCTTGCCTTTCCGCACTAATCTTTGCCTCATCTTCTAGTGCACGAGCCATTTCTTGTGCATATTCCAAATTATGGCTAGCTTCAAAGTCAAAGAAAGACACAATGTTAGGAATAAAAATTTCTTTATCAAATTCATACCACTTTTTGGCACGCTTTACACCCGGTCACCTATTGGTGCTTCATACTCACCACCTCGATCACTTCTAACCGTTTTAATCCGTCGATTAAGTTGGTTTTCCACTTCATTCTTATAAAGAATGAATTTATCGATTGCTTCGTGTTTATTTTTCAACAAATAAACATAGCTATAGCGAGTGCTATCATCGATAAAAGTAATAAAATATTTATTACCGCCACGTGTTTGTATTGATTTAAAATCACAAACGTCACTATGAATTAATTCTAGTGGTTCCGTTTTTCTTTCAACCGATTTGAAAGACGTTTTCGTTAGTTTTGCCTCAACACAAATATCACATTTGTGCTTCACATCAATTGTGAATTTAGGAATGTGTTCCATGTTAATTAATCTACGTATAGATTTAAAATTAACATGTCCTAGTCTACCATGCCACACATTGGAAGACTCAAGCAAATAAGCAGAAGGGATTTTATTATTATTGATAATAATAGTCGTTACATTGAGCTTAAACAGCCCGTCACATGCATACCCTTTGCCCACATACATTCCCGACTTGGACAAAACTAATTTGTCCGACTCAAAGACCATGCGGAAGCCATGCTTGTTCAACAACGAACCGGAAATCAGGTTTTTGCGTATCTCCGGAATGAACAACACTTGGTTAAGAGTCAGCTCTTTGCCCGAAGTCATCTTCAGGACCACCTTGCCCACGCCTTCAACCGCGGAATGAGCCGAGTTTCCCCTCCACACCTTCTCACCATTTGATGGCTCAAAAGTTGTGAATAACTCCCGGTTTGAGCAAATATGCCGGGTAGCACCGGTGTCCACGAACCACTCCTTGGAATTGGATCCAACGAGGTTGACTTCCGTAACCACAGCCGCAAGGATGATGTCTTCATCCTTTTGCCCACCTTGCACCAAGTTGACGTGAGAATCTTTCTTCCTCTTTGGTGCCTTGCAATCCGAGGACTTGTGTCCATTTTTATTGCAATTGAAGCATTTTCCATTGAACTTTGTCTTGGAAACGCCTCCCTTGAGACCGAGCTTGCTCTTCCCATTGTTTTTATTTTTTGGAGCTTTTAGCATGCTCCACCACGTTTGCCTTGGCGCCATGAACAATTGGAATTTCCCATCATTCTTCCGGTTATCCTCTTCAATCCGCAGACGGAGGATCAATTGCTCCAAGTTCATTTCCTTTCGCTTATGATTAAGGTAGTTCTTGAAATCCTTCCAAGCCGGCGGCAACAAATGAATAATTGACGCCACTTGGAATGACTCACTAACTGTCATTCCTTCATCTCGAATTTCGTTGAAGATCATTTGCATCTCCTCAACTTTACTCAAGACCGTCTTCGAATCCACCATTTTAAAATCAAAGAATCGACCAACAACAAATTTCTTTGCGTCGGCATCCCCGCTTTTATACTTGTGGTCCAAAGCATTCCATAGCTCCTTAGCCGTAGCTAATTTGCTATAAACGTCGTACAAAGCATCGTGCAGCCCGTTCAACACATAGTTTCGGCATAGGAAGTCAGAATGCTTCCATGCCTCAACCGCATTGAGAGATTACACATCTACCTCACTCCCGGTCACAACCGGAGCGTCCTCGGTCAAGAAACGTGCAAGACCGAGAGTAGTGAGATAAAATAGCATCTTTTGCTGCCACCTCTTGAAGTTTAACCCATTGAATTTTTCGGGTTTCTCCACAGAGTTGCTTGGCACGGTCACCATAGGGATAACCCTTTGGTTGGCCAAAGCAGATGCACCGCGTTGTGAACTATTATTCACCGGTGCTCCGCTTTCAGAGTGATTGTCGTTCAGAACATTCTGCCCAACACCAATCTCGTTTTCTTGAGAAGTCATTTTCGATTTCTTAACGTTTTTCCGAGAACACAAAAAAGGTTTAAGTATGTTCACAGAAGTGACAAACTACGTTTTCAAGATTGTATCCGTATGATACAAGCTTAGCAACCAAATACGTTTTAAGATTGTATCCGTATGATACAAGCTTAGCAACCAAATACGTTTTAAGATTGTTGGGTGTGTTTCGGAAAATAAAGAAAATTAATTAAAATAAATTAATTAAATAAAATGACTAGAGAAAAACAAGAAAGGAGATGAAGCAGAATTAGTCAAAGCTCGTGCTACGCACGATGTCCTTAAAACGTATTTGTTGCCTCCCACGGTGCTAGGAGCGTTGCAACAATAGTTTCCCAGGATACGATGACTACGAACTAATGTTTGAGCACACAAACAAGAGTTCCAGCGAACGAGAACAAAGACTGAACACTCAGGAATTTTTCAGAGAGACTGGAGGTGTTTTTAGCTGAAGAAATACGTGAGCTCGTGTAAGCAAGAACGTGTAAAAACGTGTGTTGTTGCAAACCACCTGACAGCCTTTATATAGGAGGATTTGTTGTGTGTAAATGGTGAATTAATGGCCCTGAACGTTGGACATCAATGACCAGTCCGTTGGGCATTGAATCGTCCATGAACTGTTCATTTAACGCTGCATTAAAAGATAAGAACGTTGGGCATTTATTGCTGTAACGGTTCAGAACGCGACCAGAAGACCTCCCAACAGAACACCATACCGAGGTGTTCTGGTCGAGGGTTTCTGTCCGGAGCCACCAGAACACCATACCGAGGTGTTCTGGTCGAGCCCTTCTGTCCGGAGCGTCTCTGCCGCTAGGCACTTCTGTCACTGGGAAAAAATAAATGTTTCGGGAAGAAAACAAAAATTAACCGTATCTCATGAGAGATAGATTTTTGGACGACATTCGTGTCTGCAGGTCGCCCGCACACGCAAGTCGCGGTTTTTCTTCTCCGATTTCGGGATTTGATTTGCACCCCCCCCCCCCCCCCCGGAGAGAGCCTTTACCCTAAGGAATCTTAACTCCTTAAGGGGGGAGTCCCTTTATAAAGGGTTGCAAATCCCTTGGGTTTTACGGTGTGAGAAATAACACACTAGAAACCCATCCTTTTTCCCAGTTTTTCCATTCTAACGGGTAAACTTCGAAAAGCGATTTCTCATTCACCCGTTATCCGTTTTGAGCGTACCATATATCGAATTGTAGCCCTTAACTAGGACAATCCGAAACCACTTTGACCCGACCCAAATCGGAAGTGGACCCCACTCAAAAAATTGCCCCAAAAATAACCATTTAATGCAATTTTCACACATTTTTCCAACATCTCCCTCAATAATAAAATATCTTGAACCGATGACTGGTGACTTATAATTAAAGTGTGTCAAACACTTTATCTTCTGTGTGTCTTATTGATAGTGAACATATCTTTCACAACATAGATTCATAAAATTTCATGTCTGATCTAAATCGCGCCGAATTGATTGTTCAATATGTTATAAATTAGAAAAAGATTTTTCGAATTGTTTCCGAATATATTTTTTATTTTACGATTAGAAAACGATCTTTGTGTATATATGTTAATTAGACCTTAATTTGGATGTGATTGCTAGCATGTTATTAGGAGTATTTCGTTCAAAATTCATGGTTATGCGATTAGGGCTATATCTCACTAAATAATTTAAGATAGATTGCATGAGGAAAACTGCAGATCCGCTAGTTTTTGGCGTTTCAACTGAATTGACTTTTTGATTTTGGTCAAACCGCTGTTGTGAGTCGTTTGGTAAATAGCGGGTGGAGTTTTTTTTTCAAAACGCCGATTCTCAACACGCTGGTAGGAGCAGCGTTTGAGTTTGGCCGTTTTGCATCATCTGCAAAAATGTCTATCTAGCCCTTAGATTGGTGGAGGCGTTTAGTTCGGCTATGCGCTTAGAGAAAGATTCGTGGAGATGTTTGAAAATTGTTATTTACCTATTCTCACACCCACATGATTGAAGAAGAAAAGTCAGAGGGACTTATACGGTTCTACCTCTCACCGACTGGATAAGAAAAGAAGAAGCTTCATTGCAGAGAGCTAGAGAGGTAATCGAAGTACATGTTGCCGCACTAGTGGGTGAGTTTGATTTTTTTTTATTTTGAAAGAGTGTGGGTTTAATTTTTTTTTAAAGAGTGGGTGGGTTTGACCTTGTCGAATTTCTTACTCGCATTATTTTGCTCATTTCATTTTTTGTGTGTTGGTCTTTTACAATTAAAGACAGTTTGGAAAATTTTATTTTGTTTTTCGGAGATACTTTTTATATGCTCTGACATATGTCCTTATATGTAATTTTATCTTGAAAAAAGCCAAGTCCAAACAGCTAATTAACTAAACAATTTTTTTACTATCCGCTAACTTAATCAGTCGGTGAAAACGCCAAATCAATCCGCCGGTCAAAAACGCTAACACAACCCGCTAACAGCTAACAACTAACCGTTGACTACCAAACAAGGCCAATGTCTTGCTCTTGTATATAAATATACCTATTCCACGTCACTCATTTCATATATAGTATCCAAAAGATTCAATTTGATTAGGATCATTTTTTAAAAAGAAGATAACATTTATTAATAATGAAAGTAACTAAAGATAAAGCAACACAATAGATCAAGGCATTGAAATTAGTGATAACATTGAAATTAGTTTAATCCATTAAATTAGCTGAATTGATGAAATGATAGTTGAAGCGACTAAATTGGCTAATTCTGCCGAATAATGGATGAATTATGTTTAACATATATTTTATTAATAGATTAAAGAAAAAATTATTAGTGAGAACTAATAATGGATGAATAATATGCGGGTAGAGTACCTGAACAAATGGATGAATAATGTGGTGCCATGTGGTCTCCATTTACACGTAAGGTACATGTTTATATTTCTCTTAATTTGCTTATTAGCCCCTGGAATATTTTATAATTTCTTTGTATTGATTTAACGTCTTACCCTCCGTTACGTTTATCTCTATCGCCTTTCCGTCTGCCGTAGAAGCCAAGAAAGGCACATCCGACATCCCCAAGCCGCTTCACTACCAGACCCGTAGAAGCCACATCGGCAATAGTAGGCTGCAAATGTCTCTTGAATTGATATTTCTCGTTCAGAATGGTAGTTTCATGGGCGGGTGCAGCAACTTCATTATCCATTCCGCCTTCATTCGACCGACTAGGGCACTTGAGGCTTCATATTTCCAATCAGAATTGATGTTGTTCGCATTTCAAAATGCCATCTTCAATCTTGGCAATAGGGATCTGTGGTTTATGAGATGATTAGGGACACTCCAAATTATGCCACCATGCCTTACAATTGATGATCAAACTGGTAGGCTTTATATTACCATGAAGGATCTTCCATCAACTGAGATTCTTGACTTCGGATTTGATCCTTACAGTCCATTGATTCAGTCAGTTTAATGTTCTTCTATTTGAAATTGATGAGGTTCAAACTTGGAGATTCAATTCAGGTATGAACAATGAATTTGTAACTGTGAGATGGAACTAAATCATACCTACCTTCAACAATTAATCCTAATATTTATTTAATCCTACTTTTCCACTGTATCAGTCAGGGAAGTTTCTTTTATGCCTTGTACATTTCATGCATTTGTACCTAAAGTGAAGCTGTAAATGACTTAGGTTCGCAACAAGTTTGATGGGAAGATCTATGTGGTGGCTGAATCTAGGTTATATGTGCTTCCTTTAGAAAAATAAAAAATAAAACTACTAATGGTTCTGTTAACGGTACACACAACTCAAATCCAAAGTCCAAGCCTTCTAGTGGTAAATCAAAGAGTATAGACACCTATGATATCTTGGACAAGATCTCCGGGTTTTCATAATAAATTAATGACTTGCTGCAGAAAGTTAGCTACTTTGACCTGTAGTGTGGTTCAGGCATTCTTATTTGTGCATGTTTCCTACTGGAGTTATAGTTTTGGGGGCTAAATCAGCTAATGAAATATGGGGGGCGAATGGCTATCTTTTGTCCATATCTGTAATTGTGAGCCAGAAATTTGTTTTCCTATGTGGCATGTCATGTTGGAAATGGACCTCATTTCCCTCCCCCCACCCAGTTTCTGCCCTTGCAACAAAGGCGTGTTATTTCGGAGCTGGTGAGAAAAGAGTGTAAATATGAGCACATATATTTTGCCTATTATACTTCATATTATATTTTTTCTGCTTCTAAATATAAGCACATATATAAGCACAAATGCTTTCATGTTGAAGAGACCTCAAACATTGTGGGGACTTTATACAGATGTTCACCTAACCAAGAGCTATTGATTAAGGGTGAAGTCATATTCTGGATCCATGGGTGGAAAGAGATCTGCTATGCATGGTCTGCTTGATTCTGAATATATCTAGGACTAATCGAGGAGATGGAAAGCCTCATGTGTTGATAAATTTATTTCTTGATAATATTTCATGGTAATCGTTTCATCATATATGTAATTACCATTCTGTATCATGAACCTTAGTTATTCATGCTAAAAGCAAAGCTATAATGCGCATATCTATTTGGAGACTTCAGAAACACGTGTGAACTCTTCTCTCTGAAGTATTTAGTAACATATTTTAGTATTCATATTCCTACAGAACCTCTCTTGCTTTAAAAATTAATTGATCTTATCTATAATGTTGTATTGTTCCTAATTTAATCTTATCTACCATTCTTTACCCTCTTCTTGTATCAAAACAGTGAAACGGAGATCAGTTATACTCCGTATATGATAAATTATGGTAAACACAGAACTTGGTCTAAAGTTACATATTATAAACAAAAGGACTTCGTTTATAATTTACAGAAATTGCCCTAAATAGATAAAGTAAAAATATAGTTTTCCTGAGTAGGAGTAAGACTAAGTACTGCCGTTGTGAAACCACATCATCATGTCATGGCATTCATACCTTCTCATATCATTTCAAAATGGTGGCACTTTACTACTCCCTCCGTCCCATTGGACTTTGCCAACTTTCCTTTTTTGGTTGTCCCAAAAATTTTTTGCCACTTTCCTATTAAAGCAACTAATTTGGTTTTGCACATTTCTCTCTCCTCTGCACAAATATCAACCACACAATTTTTATTATTTTTATTTCTCACCTACTTTACACTTGGCAATGTCCATTGGGATGGAGGTAATATTACCTTTCTCACGCACTGAAGATGAGACATAAGCTTGTGTATGCAATTTATTGTGTACAAAGAAAGAATCTGGCATTTAGTCAAAGACTCAGTTTAAGTGGAAAATCTAGTGTTCATCCAAAAAAGAATTGGAAAATTTAATCCGTGTTTCTATTTCCCCCTCTATTTTTGGATGTGTTATTACTTTCCAGCAATTCTTAGGTTACAGGTATGCTCACCTCACTTTGCAAGGTTGACTGCATGTTCGCATGATAAATTTTACTTTGAGAAATTTAATGGATGGGTTAAAACATTTTAATTCACAGTCTTCACACGGCTAATTAAAACTTGTGTTGTTCTCCTCTAACTTGGATACATAGTACGGAGTATATTGGAAGGAAAGAGTGTTAAAGTTCAATAAACATATAAATAGTTCTGTCATTCTGTGTGATTATTGGGTTATATATTTAGATGATGTGCATCCTTGAATGTTTTTGTGGTGTTAAATGTGGGTTAGAAGAATGTGTAACTCAATTTTGATGTAATTGCAAGATCGGGTTGTTTCAGCCTTGAAGTTTCTTAAGACGGCTTGATTAGGGAAGGTTCGGAACCTGGAAAATGCTATGAAAAGAAAACGGAGAAAATTAAAGGTGATATTAAGAGCTTAAGGAAACCAAAGGTTAAAAATGTTCCAGCTCAGTAAATTGATTTTAGATATTCATACAAACTCATCTTATTTATAAATTTCTATCATGTAAAATGATAAAGTGGTAATCATATTTGATCTCCCTTGGTACTTTCCTATGTTAAAAAAAGCATACACAAACTATTTTCTCATAAATTTCTTTTGAAATATTATCACTTCATGATTTCAAAGATAGATCAACTCTCAATTAAGGACCTAGAAAAGAAAGCAAAATGTAGAATCACACCGATAATTTGGTGAATTCCAAAAAAACAAGCATCTTATACACATATGTGGCTCTCCTCTACATTACACCATTGAGCAATCATCATAATATACTTATATTAAAGGTCCAGTTTCCTAAAATTCGAAGCAATTCTTTGTGCACGTTCACAGCATAAAATGACATATTATGGCTTGTCTTTCATGTACTTCAGCAACAATGGCTTCATAAGCAGGAGGTTGAGACTCCCAGTTTCATACAGCGTCTTTCATGTGGCTTCTATCAGATGCAAATGACCTGAGGAAAATTGGTGCATGCACAATCCGGAAATACCTGAAATTGGGGTGGGGTGGGGGATTAATAAAGACAGGGGCATCAACTATACAAACATTGGTGCAGTAATATATGCTCCGTATAATAGATTTTTAGGATATAATATCTGTTACCTTTTAAACTCCGAAAATAATGGAAAGGAAGGCCAGGTGGTTTCACCAATATAGGGTGCTAGGGGGGAAGGAAACAGAAGAGTTGAATCTTAATCCCACACTATGTGGGATTTAGATGCATTGCAACAAAGTAAGAAGTAATTTCAAGATGAAATAGTTTTGATTTCCCATAATCACAAAAACAAAATCAAAGAAATAGAAGCTTTTAAATTGTAGACCAGCTAGAAGCAAATAAGCCTGCCATGGAAGCTAGAGATCAAGCGAAGATTAAATGCCCTACTGACATTACAAGAATGAGCATGGTGAATACATGACACTGAGCCTGCAGGTTTATCCCATCTCAACAGCGACAATGTTAACACCTAACTACCTAAGTAGTCATAATTGAATGATACAAAAATCTATACAGTTCAAAGTTATGATTGGAATGAAGAATAGGATGTTATTACCAAAATTAAAATGAAGCATGAAAACAAAATGAGACTTGGAAACATAAGATTTAAAAAGGGAAGCAATGGCTAATTAAGTATAAGAAATAAGGATGTGCAGATAACTTAAAAGTAAAATCATTTTCAAGTCTGCATGCTTCACTAACCTGAACAGGTCATTGAATTTGATTGCTCAAAATATTAACATTGAAACATATTTTCGAAATTATGAACATAATGCTTGAAAGACAGGATGTTAAACTAAATGCTAATTGTAAAGACAGATAATCAAGTTCTTATATTAAGACAGGATGTTAAATAGAATGCTATATTTTCATTAAATTAGAGTTGAATTGTTCTGGTTTTCTTTTTCTTTTTGTTCTTTTTTTACTTTGGTTTATTTTAGATTTAGCTGTCTGCTTGATAATTACAACACACTTCTAATTCAATGTTTAACCTGCTGAGAAATTATGAACCTAAACCTAATACAATAAATCCTGTAAAGCTAAAAATTTATTAGCCCAATATGAATTTGTTTTGCACAGTGAAAAAGTTTTTTGGGTTAATGGGAGATAAATTATACGGAGCAAGTTCTTCCAAGATTGATTTGAGATGTCATTGATTGGTTCGTAATTTTAGAAAATTAAGTTCAAGCTTAATTTGAGATATTTAAACGATTTGAGATACCTTTTAAAAACAATTTGAGGTGCAGAATTTTTCAGTCTTAGAATGTTTTTACTTGGATTGTTTTTCAGTTGTACATGAGATCGTACTAGACTTAAACAAAACCAGACCAGACCAGATTTAAACAAACTAGATCAGACTTCCATAGTTATAGAATACAAAGTGACCAATATTTACCAGACCTGTTCAAACCAGACCAAATTTAAAGAAACGAGACTAGACCAATAAATTTCAACCCAAGTAAAAGCATAGTTAAATTTTAAATTTTAAGTAAGTTACTTTCTCTAATTTACTGACAGGCATGTGAGTATGTATTATTTAGCACATTTGTTAACTAATAATAATATGGAGTATATGTCACTTAAAAACTAATACATCAAAATTTATAATATATGATTTCAAAATATTATGTTTTTATTTATAGTTAGTTTCAACATTTGTTTAACTTTTCGAGAATTAACTATGTTATCAATGGACAAGGAATTTATTGAACAGTTTGATTATGCCGACTTAATTAATATTTTTGCGGTTAAAATTGTCTGATGAGTTGTACTTAATTAGTTATTTTAAAAACAATCGGTATTGTTATATATATTATATATATAAGAATTTTATTTAATTAATTATTTTGTGATGCTTAATCTTTAACTTCAAAAAAAAAATCACGTACTACGTAAAAAATACTCCCTCCGTCCCAAAATTATTGTCCCGCTTTCCTTTTCGGTCCGTCCCGAAATTTATTGTCTCATTTCTTTAACTCCCTTATTTGGTAAACAAAACAATGTCAAACAATGCAAAACAGTGTCAAACAGTGTTGCTACAGTGTCAAACAGTGTCGCTACAGTGCCAAATAGTGTCGCTACAGTGTCATTTTCTTAATCTGTGTGAAAAACCAAACGGGACAATAATTTTGGGACAAAGGGAGTATAATTTAATGGGCCTTTTTTTTATGAAGATCGACTCAGGCCCGAATTTGGATAGAACCGGCACTAATAAAACCATACATGTTGATATAGGCATATGTTGAATTTGGATCGACTTAGGCATATGTTGCCACACCTGAATAATGATATCCGTCACTCAAAAACTAACTACTTTCAGTCATCAGTCAGATTGTGTTATCAAAACAATAGCCCATGATCGTTCATTACTCTCAGTTGCCTACTACTATCAACCGTTAACAATTACTCTCCACTCAGTTACCGACAGGGGAGGATCTATGTTAGGGCTATGGTAGGCTGAAGCTCAGGGCAACTTACCGATTACTATGACCAACCACAGAGAAAGATTTGACTCTACTACATGATTTACAATGCCAATCCATCCACGTGCTACGTATCATTATGCAAAACACAGATAGTTAACACACCGACTTAATGTTACACCTTAATACAAGGCAAAAACAAACGAGAAAAAGCTGATGAAAGCAGTCGCCATACTACGCCATAAACCATCCGGAAAATGTTACAGTAGCCAACAAAACAACACTACAATGTTTAATGTCAAAACAAGACTATGATAATTAATGTAACTTTTTGGGCACTCTAATACCAGCCTATTATAGTTAAAAACATAACATATCCCAATATGGATATATTGTATATCTTTTTTCAGATTAAGCCCCCAAATTCAATAAACAAAAATAATGCTTAATTACTCAAGGCATCAAACTTCCTTCTCATTAGTCCGCTGCCTTTTCGGATGCGAGTATTTCCGCTCATATGTAGTAAAGTAAGGGGCATGGTCCTTCTCCCACCGATCATTGAACAAAGTAGCCTAATGTATGAAGAATATTAAAGATCATGTATGAGATATATAAACTCGGTATTGATTAACGATAAAGAGTGGGATATTTTAGTTCAACAAACCTTCTTCCATAATATTTCAAGTGTATCTTTTAATCCACTCAAGGTATGGTCTTTTCTTGTTAGGGAAGCACTCTGATGAAAACAACTTACTAAAGTTAGGTCCCGCAAGATGGCATCAAACAAGATACTCAAAAGATGTATGTATGTATGTATGCATAGTATCAACCTGAT